AATGTCTTCACAGTTTTTTCTGTGTGTGCATTAGAAAAGACATTTTGTAATTTGTTAAAGTGAAGTAAAAACATGCAAATCGATTTACAGCACAATTTGGAATTTTTTTTTTTTTGAGATGCGAATCAATTTGCAGCAAAATTTGCAAAATAATTTCGGTTAATACACTATGCGTTATTCATTAAATTTAATTCCTGAATCTTGACTATACAGTTTTCATCTCTAAGTCATAGTATTAAGCTGAATTTAGATTATAGATTCAAACACGAAGACAGCTAAAAGCCAGTTTTCAACTTCCTAACTTCAGTAGTTCTAAACTGCAATTATCCGGACACACATACACACGTGCACGCATACGTACAGTCATTGTCAAACACAAATTTGCTAAAATGCTTTTTTGCTCAAAGCATCTCCTCAAAAAAAGGAAAGCTTTGTGTTCTGTTAGCAATGCTCACTGGTACATGACAAAAAGACTTAAGTTACATTAAGATATTTTACAAAACTGACTAAACCCATGAACTATGCAATGCTAAATTACACAATTTTCAAAAAATTTTTGGTTTTAGTATCAAAAGGGAATTTGAAGCAATTGATTCTTTTTTCTTTTTGAGAAAATCATTTGCAGTTCTGCAACTTAAATGCAGTTTTCTTTCGCCCAAATTGATTTTTCCAAGGCTTTGAACGCTGAGCCGATCGTGCAAATTTTATGCCATGTTGCATCCGAACAATGTTTCTCTTTCTCGGGAATGAGGGTGGTTGCCAATTACAAATGTTGCCACCTCCTTGTTCCTTCTTTTCCTCAAAACAGCAACCAGACAAATTTAACTCGAAAAAAAATTATGCCTCCTTCGTCCCAAAAAAATTTTTTTTCTCAGTCTGCTTTGTCCCTCACATTTATATTTCCATGTATACAGCAAGCTCATGATTTTTTTCATACTCTAATAAAATTTGATAGCGCATAAAATTGTGAGCATGATTTGCACAACTTTTAGGCAAATTACCCACACAATTTTTTTATGTAGCAAGAGCCGTAAAAGTAAGTTTTCGGAAGATCAAAAGAGATGCTAGTTATGGGTTGCGAGTCTAAATTCACCGCTGCTAAGCTTCTGCAGATCTGTACTTGAATTTTTGGAACAGATTAAGGTAATTCCATCAGGGACAATATTAAATTATATAAAATTAAAGCGTAATCTAAGCAGTAGCATCGTACACCGAAGGACCAGTACTGGTACTTCTTACTGCTCTAAGCGTCTAGTTGATGAATGAGCGGAACCGTACAAGATATTTGGAAAGGCAGTTTTCTGAATCAATCGGTACGTGAAAAATGCAAAAGTTTTAGAAAAACCGTAACTTCCTCCTTTCAGGAACTTTGATTTCTGATCGTATTTGGACATACGTTCATAAGTCAACAAACAGTAGGGGGTGAATTTCAATTTTCAGTCAGTCACAATTCGTCTTTGGTACTGAGTTTAAAACCGATTTCAGCTTGTTATGTGCTACATTCATGAAATTGAGATGAATCACTTAGATTAATAGCAGAAAATACAGCGTGGTTTGAAACCTAA